GGATTAACCCGCTCTAAAATGGGTTAATCCAGTCTAGTGAATACCTGTACACATCCACTTGCACGAGCCCCACGACTGTGCTATTCCTACCTCCCCAACCCTGATCAGGCTAATTTTAGCCTTCTGACTACCTCCCCACTGCCACTGCTGGCTTCTGCGGGCCGTTGCCACTCACCGCCCTGCTGCCGATGCTGCCACTCACAAACTGTGCCTCCCCCAATCTCAGGATACACCAGTCCCCCATGCTTTCCCCTGCCCCTGCAGGGATGAACACTGGCCACACACACTCCTTGTGCTGCCATTGCTTCTGAGAAAAAAGCAGCATCAGTAGTGCCCGATTCCTCCCAGACATATTCTGTGCATAGAAGTCCTTGTTTCAAAGCCCAAATCTAAGCAGATGTTTGGGCAGCACTGTGGTATGAGGAGCTCCATCTTAGGCACTCTGTGCCAGGGATGGTCTACGCTACCAGCTACTGCCCCAAGACCAGTCCTGCTTCTAAGAAAACATGCTGCTGCATGAAAAACTGAGCAGCTGTAGGAGCTTCCCCACTCTTTGGCAAAAGACTTGCCTGGTGGGGGGTTGCACCACAGCAGGAAACACTGGATCACAGCCCTGATGTACTTGACTTGTTCTTCCACCCCTGACACACTGACTCCCTAGCTCTTTTGGGTGATTTTAGCCCTCTGATGCTGCCAGCAGTCATGGTACCTGGGGGAAAAATCCATAGGCTGCTGACACCATGACCAGTCTTGAGCCTGCGGCTTCTACCTGACCCTGTACCAGTCCCTTTCACCTCAGGGTGCAGGCTGTGAAATACCACATTTCTGCACATATCCCCATGCACAACACCTTCCACAAAGTATTACTCAGATCATGTATTTGCATATTACCCACAATCCCACGGGGTTTGTCTTCAGACAACTTTCAGCCTCCTCTGTATGAACAGAGAGTGCCCCTGGCAGTTGGAGCGGGCACAGCAGTGGCAGGAGTGCAGCAGCTGCAGGGTGGTACTCCTGCAGACGCCGCTGGCACTGTCAGCGGTGGGAGTGGAGAATGCTGACCAAGGGGTGGCGACCACCCACTGCTAGTGGGGATTGTGGACTACCTGTAGACACCACCGGCAGTGTTGGCAGCAGGGTGGCGAGCAGCAACTGTCAGCAGGTACTACCGGCAGTGTCAGCAGTGCCTTTTTGCAAGGGGTACACTCCCATGCTCAGGGGGTGCACGTGCACCCAGATGCACCCCCTATAGCTTCATAGTTTCTAGGGTCAGAAGGGACCTGAGCAGATCATCTAGTCCGACCCCCTGCCATGGCAGGAAGAGCACTGGGGTCAAATGACCCCAGTAAGGTGGTCATCCAACCTCCTCTTAAAAACCCCCAGGGTGGGAGCCTGCACCACCTCACTTGGAAGCTGGTTCCAGACTCTAGCCGCCCTGACCGTGAAGTAGCGCCTCCTGATGTCCAACTTAAACCTTCCCTC